TTTTAAATATAAAAAAAAAGGGCTGGAAATTTTTGTCCGAGTTAGGCCAAATCCGACTTATCGAGTTTACCTATGTAATAAGCAAAATAAAAACTCAAATATATCTTGTTTAAACGATTGTTATATGATTTATTATAATAATCTGATATATTGAAATATTCATAATATAACGGATCTCACGTAAGATGATGATTTTTTCCTGCATACGGGTCCTCGACATATCAAGAGTGACTTGTATTTTCTTGTTTCAATAAATTGCATTTTTGAATAACAATTTTTCATACAAGATGCAGTTTTATTCAAAATTTTGCAGGACAAACTTATAGTAACAAGAGGAATAACTCAATAACCACATGATTTACTGACTTGGTTCAGGAAGTTTTAAGGGAAAAAAAATGCCAAACTAGATTTAAGGAAAAAAATTGTGACTTTTTTTTATTGATAAAGATATATCAACCACTCTTATGCATAAAGAGATAATCTACACATTAATCAATATGATACAATAATCCTTTATTAATCATATCTTTAGTACGCAATGTATTCGGAGTCGTGAAGGTTGGAGGTGCTTCAATAGTTGAAAGTGTGCGATACTCATCTTCGTAAGAATCGTCAAGAAAATTCTCAACATTAACATCATTCTTCCTATTTATTATGTCCAATGTTTGTATGATGATAGATTTTGCACATAATATTTCCTTCAAAACTAAAGCAAGTGGGACAGATTTAGTTAAACGTCCAGAAACTTCATGGACCTTTCTACGTTGAACACGGAAAACATATCCCTTTGGATAGTCCATTGTAATAACTTGAACCCTGTTAGCTCCTTGGAGAACTCCAACCACTTGCAATTTTCTCACAAAGTCTTCTAACCAGTCACATTCGGTAGAAAGTTGTACTAACATGTCTTTCAACATTTTGCATAATTTTAATGAATCAGCTAAATACTTAGTACCACACTGCCCTTCCCACTTACGCCCTGTCTCTATCGCACCAAATTCTAGGCGTTTCTTACACAGTCTAAAAACACCATCACCCTTTCGACCAATTATTTTTCGATCAGCTATTGATCTTCCATGATTCTTCCGGTTGCTCGATGCAAGACTCATTCCTTCTCCACGCACTAAATCAATGTTCAGGTTACTAAAAGCAGGGTCGATTAAGCGACTCCAAACATCCATTTCATACCAACCCTCTAATTTCAGAGGGTCAAAGGGATCTTCTTCCTTTTCCCACAAAAATAACATTCCCCTATAAGCGTAATTAATAAAATCAAGGTCAAAATGGATATTTTTATTATATTCATCTTCACCTGATACAAACGGTTCAAAAAGAGCTTTTCGCAATTCCTTGACATTGTCAACTGTGTACTTTTTCAGCAATTCCACATGAAAGTGTTCAAGTTTTGGCTTATCTTTAATTTCTGAGGTGGTAATTTCTTTCCATTCCTCTTCGGAAAACAGTGATATGGTGGCTGCATCAACATCATTGATTATGAATGAATGTAGATAAGATTCATACGTCAAGGTTCGTGCGTATTCATATATCACTTTCTCGACGATACGACCAGAAGATTTGAGAGTCCACATTTTTGTTGTATTTAGACTACGGTAGACGGAATTAAAATAGGCCTTTTGTTCATCTGTAATCTTGTCATTATCATAATCATCAATATCATTTTCAGACATTGTGGACTTTCCTTTTGGCTGAATAAAAAAAAAAAAGTCAATAATTAAGTTTCAAAGTAACAAAATATGCATATTGCTCACCTCTTTTAATTTCTCTTGATATTCCGAATCAGAGGAATCCATCTCTGATGGGCTTTCATTATAATTCACAAATTTTCTTTTTCGAAGCATTCTCTTAGTCAAAAATCCTCCTTCCTAAAAAGAAGTTATATAAAAAAAATAAAAATATGTTCATGATAAAAAGAGAAAATTTTCAACTACATTGATTAAGAACCTACCTTCTCATGATTCTCCTTTTCAATATTAATTTTACCTTCATTGATTCCAATTTGTGCACTTCCTGAAAATGTACTGCTGTAAACATTAAATGTAGATCCACTACCTGATCTAAGTTTCATTTCCCAACGATCTTTAGCAAGTTTGCGATCACCACCCTATTATAAAAAATTTTAGGAATTATCAATATGGAATGTTTGCGATTCACTGTCCACATACAGTTATCCATCGGGTCAGCTAGTAGCCTTGAGCACAAGCAACCTAATAAGCTCCCTGTGTCCCGATGGGACCAGTACTGGGTCAGCTAGTAGCCTTGAGCACAAGAAACCTAATAAGCTCCCTGTGTCCCAATACTAGTTTTGTAGCTCAGCTAATAGCCTTGAATAACGACGACCTAGTAAGCCCTCGTTATGCTACTTTCATTTCATTCTAGCAGCTAAATGAAACGAATCACTTGCCTTTCTATATCTATCTAAAAGCTCTAGTGCTCTTTTTTGCTGAGCGCCTTGCTCATTGTTGCTGGTTTTTTCAAGTGTTTTGATGTAAAAATCTATCGCTGCATCGAATGATTTTATGTCGGTTTCATTTATAAAATCTATGATATTCCACTTGGAAGATTTGCGATCAAAATAATTTGACATGACTATGATAAGTAAATTGTTTTGAAAAAATTTTTTTGCTGCACAACCCTCTTAAATGTCACACTATATACTAATTTGATTAATACTAATTTGATTATGAGAATAATCGTGTAAATAATTAACATCAATATTATTAATATAATTAATATTGAATGAAACTTTTCTCAAAAAAAAAAGATAGTTATAAGAAAAAGAAAAAAAAAAAAACTGCTTACTATAACAGCCGCATCTTATACAAACAGTACTAACACTAATAAATTAATAACTATCCAATCATATAAACATACATCAATATATTAAATTCATTGCGGGAAAATAAATAAATAATATATAAATTTTGGCAGAGCAGGAAAAAAAAAAAAAATCTAATTCAACATCTACCTACCAACCCCTTCTGGTGTTAGAACTGGAAGGGAAAAACAAAGAACTAATCAACAACAGTGAACAACCAGCCACCTTTTTATTGCGTTCAAACAAGAGATCCTTCAACAAAAGCGAAGGAATGCAATCTCAAAAAAATAAAAATAAAAAAATCAGAATAAATGACACAACCAACCTTCTAAACTATTCCAACGACTCCCAAATGGAAAAAAATATACCAATTACATCAACAATCATTACTACACCAACAGGATCCATTACACCAACAGACTCATCAACACCAGTTACATCAACAACCGTTACTACACCAACAGATTCCATTACACCAACAGATTCATCAACACCAGTTGATTCTGATACAGAAACAAGCATGGACTTGGACACCACATCAATAGATATCAACTCAAAAATGGACATTGATACATCAAACCTAAATATTGACCAATTTTCCAACCTTATCAAAACAATTGAAGGAATTAAAATTCTATTAGGAAAAAGTAGACAACAACCCAGCATAAACAGGAGAGACCGTCCTATATAAGGAAAGGATGTTCACAATTGATTTCAATTTTTTTTATACAGTTTAGAATACTT